CCCCCCTCTTTTTGTTCGCTGCCTCCCCATCCCTCACTCCTTCCCTTGTTCGTTGCTTTCCCCCTTTCCGTTCGCTGCTCCCTACTCTCCCCCTTCTTGGTTCGCTGTGTTTTTATGGGGATTGGATTCCAAATGAGAATAAAATGGTGATTGGCTCTATCGATTGTTTACTCAGTATTACCCATAGTACAAGGAGTGGGATATATATATTATATAATATATATATATATATATATATATATATATTATTATAATTATATATATATATATATATATGTGTGTGTGTGGTGTGTGTGTGTGTGTGTGTGTGTGTGTGTGTGTGTGTGTGTTTTTGTGTGTGTGTGTGTTCGTAAGAAATATATTTATACACTGTTATATACAGGAAGGAAAGCAAATTTTGATATACATTTTAATATATAAAAGAAGGATAATAAATATGTGATATACATTTTGCTATACACGTTTTATTATATTGTACAATGTGATACACAAATAATATAATTAATTTTTGTGTTATACACTTGAATATAAAGATAATAATAAATTACGACAACTACCGAAGGAAAAAATTAATATACATTTTGATATTCACAAAGAAGAAAAAATAAAGTTGCGATGTATATGTTGGTATACATGTTTTAAACATGTTATATTAGTATGATATACAAAAATATAATTATTTTTGTGTTATACACTTGGATATATACTATGATATACAAACTATATTTATAATTTTTAATATTTTTTAATGCTTGTGAAAATAATTTAAAAACCTATGAAAAAGATTGTAGAGATTTGGAAGAAAAATCTTGAAAGATTTTCGAATTCTAACAAAAAGGAAATGAAAGCCTATTTTTAGGGTGATGGTTGGACCATTAGAAGAGAGAGAAAATTACTAAATGTTAAAATTTAGGCTACGCGTGCCAAATGCTAAAAGATTAGGCCATTTTCTGATCAATTATTGAACTAAGTTGTTATACAATGCCAACCCCTCCCCCCCCCCCTTTTCTTTTTGCACATTATGCTCAGATCAAGAATATTAAGAGCCCGTTTGGCCATAAAAAAATTCACTTTTTTCCTAATTTTTTTTTCTTTTTCTCGAAATCGGGTTTGGCCATAATTTTTTAATTTTCACTTAAAGATGAATATCGGTATTTTTGAAAATTTAAAAAATTCCAAAAAGTTATTTTCAAAATTCACACTCAGAACTCAGAAAATTCAAAAATAATTCAAAATTATATTTATGTCCAAACACGACTCTAAATTTTCAAATATCATTTTCGCTTGAAAAAAAATCACTTTTTTTCCGAAATTTTACAATTCTTGTGTCCAAACGCCCACTAAATCACACTGCTTGAATTTTGAAGCACATTGCTATAATTTTAAAGTATGATGTCAGAATTTTGAAGCACGCTGCCACAATTTTAAAGTACGCAGCCAGAATTTTAAAGCTCCCGCATTTTTGAAGTACGCTGCCATCATAGAAAATTCTAGCAGTGTGCTTTTAAAATTTAGGCAGCGTACTTTAAAGTAGAGTTAATACCCTAAAACCATCCTAAACTATCATGTTTTTGTCAGTTTCCTACTTAAACTATCCGGTGTCCCCAAAACTATCCGGTGTCCCCAATTAACTTTAAACTATGAGTTTACAACACATGCTCCTTAGTTTAAGCATAAATTGATTATTATTTAACTTAATGATTTGAACTAATAATCAAAAATTGAAAATGGGTAAAGCCTTTGTCTTCATCTCCTCAACAATGGTTACCCCTTCTATCAATCTGGATTTTCACCATTAACTTTATTTCACTGTAGTTTTTTTTCACACTAACCTTTGATTTTATGGTAGTTTTTGGTTTAGCCAGAGATTTGGGATTTAAAAAAGCTAGGGTTTTGACAAGAAGAGAAGTTATAGAGAAATATATAAAGAAAAAATGAAAAAGAAAGGTAATTTCAGAAGAAATAAGAGAAGAGAAAAGTTTCAAAT